ATTGGTGTCATCTTAAAGCTTGTTCATTTGTTTTGCTTTCAATGAAAAAATTAACCGTCTATGTTTATTAAAGTATTTGCCATTTAAGGAGGTGGGGGTAGCCTGGTTTTAGAGGTAAAAATAGAGAGAAAATGGCCGCCAAAGTTTGATGAATTCCATAGCTGGAGAGCCCTGGGAATATGAAAATTTTCTTTTTTTCGCCTTTAATCGTTTTTCAATAAAATTCACACAGATATGTGTTTTTAAATCGACATGAAAGATGTTTAGCCAAAAAACAAAAATTAGATAAAAATTGCCAAACACACGGAAAATCACCTGTTTCTTCAAGTTCATTATTTTGACGAACGCCTGATTTCATCACGCTGCCTCTCATTTCATCAATCTTCACCACCACATTAATCTCTGCTAATAAGGTAATGCATTAATTATTTTAAAAGTAGACATAAAAAAATGAATTAGGCCCTTCATGTTATAATCTTATGAAACGACTTCAGTTAAACAAAAATGAGGGCTACCGAGATGAGAAGATACACTCATTTAATATATTATATCATGTAGTTTTGGGGAGTGTTTTTATGTAGTTGTTTTATACGCCCCAATTGACACAATTTAAATCATTTATGAGGCGGGCTTTGACCCTCTCGGTCGGGGCCAACCCAGGCTGAGAGGTCATTCAAGCAAAAAGATCGAAATATTTGAATAAAATTCTCCCCTCATGGGAATGGAACTTGGGTCTCTGTGTGCGACAGCAAAGCACCCAACATTTACAACACAAATGCTGGAGAAGTGGTTTTTATTTTTCTGAAGCAAATGTAATGTTATAACATGATGTAAATCTCAGCATTTTATGTAATTTAGACTGATAAGTGTTTGTCCAACATCTGTGCTGTGACGTTTCAAGGCATTTTGCCCTATTTCGTGCTGAAGGTGTGAATCTGATTTTTTCAGACAGAAGGAGTTTTTTTTTTTGTGAGCATCTTGGTCTTTCCTTTGGACTTTGGAATCTAAGGTCCTGTATACCTGGGGATTACCCAATCAGGTGGAATTGAATGAGCCTGCCCCCAAAACGGTCTGAATTGTGTTGATGGAGGTGTAAAAAAATAAAAGGAGTGTTCGAAAGGGTTTTGTTATATAAGCCGCTAGAAGTCCAATGTGTATTTATAAAAATTTTGTCTTGTGGCTGGTTTTATATTATGTCAGTGTCTACTGAAATGATTCAAAGATTTCTATGTAATTTGGACTGCATTTGCTGATAGATTTCAGAGGGGTTTCTTGTCAGGCTGATAACTCTTTCGCTTGATACGCTTCTACAACAGATTGAGAGTGCTTTTAAAGCGTACAATTTGATTTAATTAATGAATTAATAAATTAAACCACATTTATTTTATTATCTCTATCCAAACAGATGCTAGTTTTGTACCTTCTGTAGATGAACCAGAGCAAAGGAGGGATGATATCAATGTCAACATTATGCTTCCAGCAAGATCAGATGTGAAAGGTGAAATGGAGTGTCAGGGCAATTTTTGTGAGGCCGCTGACCTGAAACTGTGCATGGCGTGCTATACTTCTGGAACTGCTCGTTCTTGCTCACAGACTTTCCTCCCATTCCCATGTACAACCTGCGATGATGATGATAGTCTCAAAATCTCCTTGTCTGAAAACTGCGGTTTGTTTTGTTGCTCACCAGTAGCTGAACATTTGAGTAAGCAAGACGATGCTTTCTTTGAGGAGTGTGAAGTTTCATTTGAGCTAACTCCGCTGGAGGAGTGCTTCTCCTCACTGTCAGAAGTGAGAAAAGAACATGGTTTCAGAAGATGTCACTCGCTTACCCCAGGGAGACCCCGAATCTTGAACAGGGCTGATTTCATTCTGGAGCAGTGTACCAATATCTATAAAAGGGACCAGCATGCGGGTTGCTCTCTTTTTTGCTGGAACTGTGGACACAACCTATGGTCAAAGTCTGGCTTGTCAATGGACTGTGGGATTATCGAGGAGGTCAATGACCTCAAGGAATCTTATTCCAAAGAGGAATGTTCTCTTCAACATTTTGATTTCAAAGGATTTGATAACGCTTGTAAATTAAGATGGGGTTTCCAAGAGGAAGAGGTGGATTTTGCTAAAGTAGCTGGGTTATTTCACCTTTATTCTCCGCAACATTTCCCTTTCTTGATGACGACTGTGATGCCTTTCTGTGTTGCTCAAGAATCAACGTCCGGTGGGTTGCCTAAAGTAACGGCGGAAGGAGAGTGCCAGACTGAGCACTGTGGGGACAGGGGTTCAGATCCTATCGGGGTTGATGTACTACACCAAAGTTCTTGTTCTTTCACTCCAAAGCATGGAAGAATGTGTGGAGAGAATCTGGCAGAAAAACATGCAGATGCTGAAGGAATATGTGAGGAAAATATTCAAGAAGAAAATTCATCATCTAACTCAACGGTAGGGTTAAAGTTTGTGTCTGGAGAAATAAGCTGTGCCGACAGGGTTGACCTTGTAGGTGAACATTCTCAAATAGCTGCAGCTGTTGGTTTCTCTGCCTTTGACTATGATGACACTATAGTAGAAGACAGTGTACTTGAGACTGTAGGTAGTTCTCCTGTACCAAACCACAGACTTCATTGCTATCCTGTGCTGAATGTATTGTCAAAAAATTTCCTTCAGGAATCACCAAATGTTTCTCACAAAACAGAACCTGCAATGGCTCTTTCTCATTTGCCAAAAGACTCGCTAGCAATGGCAAGTGACAGTGAAAGTTGCTCCAATAAACTGCCGAGTAGAATTGAAGAAGATTCCATTATCTATGATATTGTCACTGACAACAAGGACCAGACACTTGATGAAGGCAAAGGACCAGCACAGGCACTCTTTCAGTTTTCAGACAGCACACCATACTTCAGCGTATTTTCAAATGATGAGTCAAGAGTTTCCTGTTACAAACAAAAGCTGGACACACACTTCAACAGTGGAATTGTGCTGAAAAATTGGTTGAAACCTAATCTGCAAAAGGAAGAAGACCCAGTGCATTTCTTTTCTTCAGAGGAAGAGACAGAGTTGGTGCCCAATTTGAAATTTGTCGTTGCCTCTGCTATATCCTCCACTCCGGTAATGACTTGCAGTAGTAAAGAAAAAGTGAAGTCCGAAAGTGAGGAAACGAGTACCAACTTTGACGGTCACAGATCAAAAGGCGAGAAACAAATTTGCCTCAGTTCAGTTAAGCAGAGCACAAAAGAGTCTAAAATTTTTGCTGAAAGGGAAATTCATGGTGAGGTAAAAAGAAACTCAGCCACGCCAACCGCTTGGAAAGTTGTGATGCATCAATGCAGTGTGATGCTTCATGATGTAAGACAAGTGATTCCTTCTTTAGGTGCTCATGTTGATTTGACATCTTTGACCTGTGAAACTCAGCACAAACTTGGTGTTGAGTTTAAAGCCAAGGTTTTGATAGATGAGGGGGCCAATAGTGGGTGTAAGAAAACAGGGTTGATGTTGCTCTCCCCAGCTGCCGTCCCGTCTTGTCCAGGTCCTAAGGATGTCGTACTGATACGCTCCCTGGCTCGGGTTCAAAGGATAAAGGAAGTCCAGAATGGGCTGATGAAGCTAAGGAATACGATGGAGAACTCAGAATTCCCAGCTGTGAACGAAAGCTTGCTTCAAAAGTTCCCCAAGAGACAGATTGGGTGTAAATTTAAACCCAAGGAAACCATTACGGGTGGTAAAAGATTGAAATATTCAAAACTTCAGCAGTTTTCATGCGAAAAGAATACAAGTCCTTCCCAGTCTACCAGTCATATTGGAGATGGGTCTGATAGGAGGACAGAGCCAGAGGTAAAAGAGAATGCCTCATCACCAAACAGGCAGAGAATACATGCAGAGACTCTACGTCCTGCTGACAGTAGCCATCATCATGAAAAGTCAAGGAAAATAAAGCATTCGAATGAACCTAGTAAAACGCGTCGAAAGAAAGAGAAGTCTGGGAAGACTGAAAAAAAGAAATCTGCCAGTCATAAGCTATCCTCGGGTACTGCCAAGAGATCAGGGGATACAAAATCAGAAAGTAGTTACACAAGCCAGACAGACAAAAATTCATGCTTTGGACGCTTAGCACCAAAACCAGAGTTTGCTGTGTCAGAGACATGGACAGATTCAGACTCTACTGAGAGAAACATGATAAGTTGTCGTACATCTAACGCTGAGTTCTCAAAGAAAAACTGGTCACTGGAAACCTGGCAGGACTTTTTGGAGACTAAACCCTGTTCAAATGCTTCTCCTACCAAGATAAAACATCACAGTCTCAAATATTTGTATAAAAAAGACAAGTCCGCGAAAGAACACCCTCATGGACTTCAAGATGAGGAGAACAACAAGAGTGTCTTACAAGATCACTCTCTTACTCACAGACATGTTTCCAAAACCCCAAGAATGTCTCCATTGTCAGTTCAAAGAGAGTCACCTGTTGTGAAAACGCACACTAAAGTAAGAAAATCTGAACTTGCCAAGGGTAAAAGTAAAAAAGTCTGTTTAAGCAAGAGTGCCTCCTCATCTGTGAAGTCGTCAGTTCACATCCCAAACTCAAGCAGTCTTCGTAGTGGCCAAACATCTGAGACGAGAAGAAAGGACAGAGATGGTCTAGAGGGGCAGAAGTCACAGTCAAGAAAGGACAAACACTCAAATGAAAAAGAAAGCTGGAAATTGGAGAAACATGCTCAAAAAGATTGTCAAGAATGTTCAGTGTTTCCGAAAAGTCTTGGAGCTTTCAAAATCCCCAAGAAATCAGATAGGGTTTCTTTGGGTGCAAGCAATCCACTACACTTATGGGACATAGACTCTGTCAATGTTGTAAAGACTGGTGAACGAGCAAAGTCAGAACTTGAAACACGATGTCAAGACTCATCTTCCCCTTCTTTCAATCAAGTACAGGTTAAGCAGGTCTCTTTTGAGGAGACCTATACATCAACATTGACCCAATCTGGAAATGCCAAATACACGAAGTTTCAGAAAACAGCTGAAGAAAATGTCCCAAACAACAGCTATAATAAACACGCTAAACTTCCCTATCGTGATGAATTTTATTTGGAGGAACCTGGACAAAATTTGGCACAGAATGTGTCATGTGGCAAATTGTCGACGCCTAGAGTACTGATTACTGCACCTGAAATCTCTCCCAAGGAACTACAAGTCTCCAGAGGGCCAAAAAATCAAAAACAAAGAGAAAGAGAGGTTATTGGGGATATTGCAGCCTCGATGTCGTGCCTTTACCAGCTGGATAAAACTGGATCTGGTTCTTCAAGCTCTCTGAGCACATCTGTTGGCAGAAAGGGAGAAGGGACCTCAAGCGACTCGGGGTCAGCTGAAGATTTGCCTGAGGTTGGAGCTGATGGTGAATTGCCCGCCCAATGTCAAGTCGCTCCGCCTCCTTCCCAGGACGGCACCCGGAATGGTCACAGGAGCAGTGCAGCAGCAGGAGATGCTCTTCCACAGCCCATCAGCCCACTGCGTTCAAAGTCAGCAAAGGTAACTTTTCTTTTATAGTTAAGTCATATACAGTACTTAGCTTTGCCTTTTCCCTGATGCTAGTGGAGACAAGTTGTTACCCTAAAATGACAAAGTTCTGTCTGCTAATTACCTAGTTTTGAGACGTTTGACACAAAAAAATTTGCGTTTCACATTTCAAGCTTTTTCGAATTCAATTCTTTGAATGTCTTGATAACGTATCCAAATAATCTTATGATTTTGGTAGAGCAGAGAACATTTTGTTTCTGACCTCAATATCCTAATATTGACTAAAAATAGCCAATAATGTTAGACAGAACTTTGTAATTCTGAGATAACGAAATGTCAAACAGACTCTGTGCACTGGCAGGAGGTGCAGACGGCAGACCCCTCTAATGATAGAAACACTTGCATGCTCATTATCATAATATTATCAACGTCACTGGTCAGATGACAGTGCGTGACACATTCTATTTACTTTTGTAACGTTGTTTCTGTCCTCGTTCTTCTGTTCCTCATTTTGACATTACTGTCATAATGTCATCATACTGTGGTCACTTGGTCAGATGCTTAAGAATCTGCAAACAAGTACATATATTTGTATGGGTATCCTAGGGCGTGTCCAGCAGAATGCAACCGCAAAGACATTTTGACATTTGGTACCTGAAAAAGGGAACTGAACAAATAATTATTGTACAAATCGCATTATGAAACGACCGTAGGGGCTCTCGTTTTCTAGAGGTTAAGGTGTTGGCCTCTCATTCCTTAGGTCTTGGGTTCGAATCGGGATAGCAATGGAAAATGTTCTTCTTTAAAATGTTTTCCTTTCACTATCCTTTCCTACTCTTTTACAATGTTCTGTCGTCTGCTTTCGTCTCCACTTTCTGCTCCCCTCCCCTCACCTCCTTTGCCCCCTCCTCTGGGTTCCTGGCTCTCTCTGCAGCCCTTCTATTGCTACTCCTTGGCCCATTCTTACGCGCGGTCGTATGACCTTATATGCAGTTGCGAGCGCCGTAAAACACCACAAAAACCGGCAATAACGGAAACCTGGCTTATGGACCCCCCCCCCCCCCCCCAACCCCTTGATAAATTCCTCTTTGTACACCTGTCTAAGACCGAAACCTTTACAACCTGGAAACGTCAAGAAATGGGGGATGGGGGGGGGGGGGGGGGGGCAAAACGACCACTGCCAAAACTGATTTTTGATATGAGCAACAATAGTCCCAAGCCTTTTATTCTAAACATCGCGGTAGGCCATCAACTAAACCAGACCGGCCCAGCGGTAGACCTTCAATCAGGAACGTCACGGTAGACCTTCAACTAAACCGGCTCTGAAATTCCTTCTCTTCTGAGAGTTTTGGCCTGTTGAAGAGCGAAGACAAATACTTTGCCCGCTCAGCCAAGGACCTCAAAATAATTAACCTCCTCGCCCTCAGCTTTTACTTTTATTTGAAATTGAAACAAAGGTCCCAAAACTTCCAAGTTCGGTTCCAACGGCTTTTTACGTTCTCTGACCGTCTAGGCTCTGAGTCTGACCAGTGCGGTCTAGATTACCTGCTCTGGCTCTGACCTTTACGTTACGCCACACCGTCAGGCGAGAGGGGGGGGGGGTGCGGTCTGGGCAACGCCTATTTTTAGTCTCTACTATGTACTACTAGGCCCTACAGTTGGTTCTGGGTTTTATGCAAGGAGTTTACTTTTAATCTCCTTGGTTTTATGCAAGGAGCTTACTCCTTGTTTTTCTGTCAGTTCATCAGTTTTATCCCGCGCTTGTGAGCGTGGCCTACGTTATTAAAGTCACGAAGGCCACTTTGTGAGTATGTGAGTGGTGCAGAGTGATGGTCAGGGTGGTGTGGGTGTGAAACAAGGACCTTGGAACTCCTTGGCCGCTGCTGGACTTCAAAGAGCTCAAGCCGGGCGCGCCGGCACGGAAACTTTTCTGAGTAGGCAGCAAAGATGTGAGATTTGACCGCTGCCTGCCGCTCTGGTCGTACGGCCGCCAGTTGAGAATATGAGGGGAAAAGTTACTGTATAACCTCCTTGGTAGTAATGTATTACATGATACAGGGGAGAGGTGGCTTTTATAGATTGTGCTTATTAATTAATCTTTGGGTGGGGCTAAAGTTGGAAACAAAGGAGGCATTATTAATATTGTTATTCGATCATTTCTGTTTCTATTGGTCAAATGGTTGTCCTATCTTTAATGAGATAAGAGAGGTAAGAAAAGAAAATAATAATGAACGAGAAATCGTTATTGTCCAGATGCTGGCACATTGGTTTGGTGTTGCTTCACGAAACACACACACACCCGTGCGCGCGCTCACGCACACGCACGCATACACACTCGCATACCCACTCGCACGCTGGCTCGCGCGTGTACCTCACAAAGTCTTTCGCACATCCTCTTTTCCACATACCGGTGCATCTGTACACAAAGACACATGTATGACATACGTAGTGTGCTTGCACTAACAAACAGAGTCACAGTCACAACAAATAATAAACAAACACCTTTTATTGCAAGATGCAAGAACTGGTGCCGATAGATTTGCTAGACTGGCGCTTGCCAATTGCCAATTCGCCAGCCATTATCAGAGCGGCTAGAATAGCACTTTGGAGGTGTGAAGTTTTGGCCACTGCTTGCCGATCGGACAGGCGACCTTTGATCCCACCGCGTATGACTGGACCTCTGCCCCCCCCCCCCCCCCCCCCCACCTCTCTTAACACGTTCTGCTACATCTCCCTGTTGTCCAATGTGTGGGTAAGCCAACGAAGAAAATGCCTCGTCGGGATAGAACGCTTAGAATAAATATTGAATGCAATCTTTTATTATAATTATAATGATAATATTATCAATTTTTTCCCAACTCCCTTGAGATAATTTTGTCTTGAATTGGACAGATTCGACCGTGCCGTAAAATTTGTCCAAGACGGCCACCCATTATCATTACAGTGTATAGGAAAAGAAAAGTGGTTGTCTTAGACAGGTTGGTATTGTTAGACAGTGTCATCATAGTATTTTAAAAAACGTCAGGTAATTAATGGGAAGTGTTCATTTGTACAGGGGGGCTCTTAAGCCTTAGGCAGGTGTGACCAGAGCTGTAAAGTACTTTTAAAAAGTTCTTAAGTACAAATTTAAGTACAATCTAAAAAATGTACTTAAGTAGGCCTACAGTAAAAGTACTTTCCTGTAAAATGTACTTGAGTACAAGAACTTTTTAAAAAAGTACTTATGAGTACATTTTGAGTACTTTCTGCTAATATGCTAAAACTCTTCAGCGTTTATGCAAAACATCATATTAAATAACATATCCAGTATATTTGACAAATTAGGCTATTTATTACTAAAAATGTAAACTGTATACAAAGCAATTGAGTATACAATGTACGCACTGAACGAAGATGGAAATGGTCCGTGAAATTGAAAAAAAACCCAACCCAAACGAACAGACGTCACTAGTGGGTAAGTGATATTATGAATAGAACTTGTTTGAGCAAGACAATGTGATCAAATGTAAGTCAGTCCAAGAGGTCGGAAAGTTCTACATTAAAAAAAAATCCAAATTGGAAAATGTAGATACAAAGTTGCTCTTAAGAAAACATAAAATTGATGAAAATTTATGGCCAGCATAGAATAAAGTGCATTGAATTCTTCATTAACAAATCCTCAAGGAATCAATATAGCCTTAAGCAAAAACCACCCCAAAAAAGTTTAAAAGAAATTTAGGCAGCCTAAAAAATTGTACATTGAGAACTCAGTTTCAGTTCCAATTGATTCTAATAGTGGTAAGACAGATTTTGGTCACACTGTAGTCCCCACGGCGCCCACGGCAAACCAAAATACAATAGTTTCCTAGAGTCTAGTAAGTGTAGTGTAACCAAAGATTTTCTACTGCAGTAGTCTCCGCCTAAGATCCCAGTCCTCGGAAGCAAGGAAAATAAAAATATGGGATCTTAGCCGACGAAGCCAAGGAAGAATCTACAGTGACCCATGAACTGACGTGACCCCTGGGTGGATTTATGACATACGGCAAACAAAGAGTGGTTAACCTTGATGACCAATCACAGTGGCATGAGGTATGCCATAAATAATATATACATATATATACACACTCATTGGCCTATCGTGAGTCTTGAGATCTTTATCTACGTTTATCCAGTTGCCCCTCCCCTTCATCTGTCCAACAATTTTAGCTTTCCATCTCTAATTGAGTCTCCCCCCCCCCCCCCCAAAAAAAAAAAAAAAAAAAAAAAAAAACCCGCCTTTGTCGTTACGCACCATTACGTTGTGACAACACCAATTAAAATTCAGGCTGTCTCGCAAATTCGGGAATAGAGAAAAACTGCTTTCAATGGTCAGGGAAGAGTTCACAGTTTGATGTGATCCCGCATGGAGCGAACTTGTAGGCCCTACGTCCACCCAACGAGTGGTGTAAGTTCAGGTGGTGAGGTCAGATGCGAGTGCGATGTTTGGGGAAAAGAAACTCATCGATCAGTTCACACCTTGGTGTGATCCCGTCTGGAGCAAACACTGTACCGTTTCATGGAGTTTTACAACGCTTGTGATCTCATTCACGATAGTGGCTGATCTTTGACGCGACGGGCCGTTCTTTGATCTCAACTTTTAACTCTTGGTTGATCGGCTGTGCCCGCCCGGGTGTTTGTTCCGTAAATTATGATCAGAAATGCCGGCACTTAATCAAAGTACTCAAAATGTGCTTTAAAAAATGCTCAAAAGCACTTTTATAAAAAGTATCGGAGTACAGTAAAAGTACTGGTTTCAAAAATGTACCGGAGTACAGTAAAAGTACCGAAAATTGCAACTTAAGTACAAGTACCGGAGTACTCTGGGTGTGACTGTGCATACAGGGAGGAAAGGGGGGTATCGGAACGGCATAAATACGTAACGACATAATTTTTTTTTATCGGAACGGCGCATACGTTTTCTTTGGTCATGGTAATCGAATACTATTAGGTTCAATTTCGGACATTAAATCGATCGAATACTTAATGTGCATGTT